CAACAGGGGGGGGTCGTATTTGACCTCGAGGGAGGGGGTCGTAAGCGCGGGGACCTTTCTGAAGTGAGGGTGCAGCGATACCCAGATGTCGTTCAGCTTCAATGATGAAAGACTTATCCATGTGAAGAACCTCTGAAGACACACAAGACAGAAGCAACCTGCCAGCGCAGAAGTGGGGAAAGGGCGATGACAAGAAAAGCGAGGCCGCTCACAACGACGTCAAAAAAGGATAACTTTCTTGTTTTTCGTTTCTAGTGTTTTGTTGATTTTCTTTTTTAGTTTTTCTTATTAGTTTTCTAGCTTCTGGTTCTGGTTTTCGGCGCTATCGAACTATTCCTACCCCAGCCTGCCGGAATCAGGCTGCTTTTTTATCGACCTTTTTTAAAAGGGCAGATTGGGCTGAAAGTTTGCTTCATAGTAGTACTTCGACCTCCTGAACACGAATATCACTTCTTTCGCCCGGAAACTCGTCGATTTTGATGATTTAGGGTTTGGCGCCCGCGCCACAGGTGCCACCCTAAATCATCAAAACCAATTAAAACTTGTATACGGGGTTATTTGACATCCTGACTACGAATATGACATTTATTCTTGGCGCCGGCGTTAATGTACGACACTATGGTAATCTGCGCTTTGCTAAGACTGAGCCTGGCCTGAGAGGAATCTTTCCTTTTCCCAGTTTCAACCTCAGCAGAGCGCTAAATAGCGCTGGTATGGAGAAATGATGTCATACTCGTGATCAGGACACCGGACATCGAATAACATCTATAGACAAAGTTTCAGCGAAAATTTTTCTGAGTTCTTGGGGTAGGAATAGTTCAATAGTGCCTAGCTCTCTTACATTTTCTTCCCCCTTTTGCGCTTTTTTTCGTTTCTACCTTCGTGACGGGGAGGGGGGTCGTATTATACCCGTCTGCAAATACCTCACAGGACTCCTCACTAATCAGTGGTGCAAACATTGAAAAGTTTTTTTGGTTTTTTTCTAGAACAATTTTATCGAAGTGTCGCAAGACTCTCCCTAGAAACAAATTCGTTCGTAGCAGGGTAGCCCCCCAAAAGGAACAGATCAAAAGCGACCATTTCTATATTTTACTTTGTTTCAGACTACTTGGGGATTTTTTTATCTATTTATGATTGAAAAAGGCTGAAAATTACAGTAGGCGCAAACAGTGGAGAAGGATGTGACGCCGCCGTTAACGAGGTTCTCGAAGACTTTGTCGCTAGCGTTTGGGATGATCAGACTTTTGTTTCCCTTCTTATAACCGATAGCGACTGCGCCACTCGAACAATTGCAAACATCAGTGCAACATCCACTGCCGTGGTACGATTTCCTCTTTAATCGAAATGGACTCAGTCTAAAACGCAGTTTCTCTTTTAGAACAAGGTACAACTAATCTCCTCACAAAACCTGAATGAAGTTTACGAGCAGTTAACGTATCCCCTCGTCGAGCATGGCTACGTGAATTCGACTTTTGATGCCCAAATCGTGCTCAATACTCCGTACTATCTCAGCAACTACTCCACATCGTGCAGATCTGAAATGCCGCATGGTAAGCTTTCATGTCTTGCTTTCATGAGTGACTTTGTTCGAGTTCTGACGTCACATAGAGCGCACATATCGCTTTGAAACGCTATGCACAACGACTGATAGGGAGGGGGGGGGGGGAAAGGTTATCCTTTCCCACTAGGCGTATTGACCCTAGGTGCTTGGGCAAATTGTTGTACCTAATGCCTACAACTTCGGTCGCAACCATGACTAGGCCCTCGTTCCACTAGCGCCTGTTGACCCTTACTGATTAAGATTTTCTTCCGCTCCGTTATCCTTCCGGATTCTGTGGGGCCTTTCTCTTTTACTTTCATACAAAATGAAGCATGACTTAGTGCTGACCCAATATGCACACAAGTTTCATTCGGCTTGTGGACTTCATACTTTACCTCAGTTTTCCTCCGAGCGGAATTGCAGTGTGCGCAGTTTGCCCCAAAAGGGTTCATTGAGGCTGGTCGCCATGCATTTTAATGCTTACCCTTTCAGTACCCTTGGTCGACAGTCGCCCTTATCATCGTCCCAAATATCTCTATATCGCTATGGACGACATGGTGTGGATCACCGTCTGCGCGACTATCAGCGTCAGTGTGTTTGGCGTCATCATTTACCAGCACGTAAAACGCCAGCACAAAGAAGCAAATGGAAATTCTAACCGAAATGATGCTGCAGCCGAGGAACTTCAAGTGAGTCGGTATTTCCCTAAAGATTGTTGGCGCTTACTTTCTCAAATGAAGAGGATAGCAGCCGTTATAAGAAATGGTTCGGGCGCCAGGTCAAGACCATCTCCCTAACACTCTCTATCACCCGCAGCGAGCACGACTATTAGTACACCTTTCATCTTACTTTTACAAGACATCATGCACGCGAGAAGTTGCCATCCTCTTTACATGAAAGTGAATGTAGTCCGCCACATGGTTACGACATCACATGAGCTGACCTCCACGAATCACGAACAAATGGAGACAGAAGTGAAGAACATCTTGCGGCAAAACGGATATAGAAATCGGCAGCTTCGATGCTGGAGGCCTTACCGATCACCTTATGGTACTCCACTCGTGTTACCTTTCATCAGCGACTCGTTCGCAATTGATGTTAATCGCGTCGTGAAACGATCACGGCTTCCCTATAAGCCTGGTATTTCGACCACCTCTCAATTTACGACTTTTAACATCATCGCGTCCGTATGAGAGTCGATGTGAAAGAGCTAACTGTGTGATTTGTGGAGAACATAAGGTGTGTCAAGAAAAGTGTGTGGTGTACAAAATAGTGTGCCTTTCATGTCACGAGTTTTACATTAGGAGAAACATCGAGGCCACTTCACAAGAGAATGGAGGAACACTTAAGAGCTTTGCGGAGCCCACAGAGCTACCCGGAGAACCCATTCTCGAGACACCGCACACTAAGGCACGCTCAAGAAAGACCGCCGGAACTTCGCATCTCCATCCTACACAGAAATGTGGTAGATCCAGTTGAAAGAAAGATCAGGGAGGCACTGGAAATAAAGCAAAGGAACCACCCATCAACAGCAAGGAGGAGATGAAAGTGGCAATGAGTTTGATATCAATATAAGACGTGCACAATGGAGACATACGTGACGAATTCTAGATCACCCTTGTCCCGCACCCTTATAAATGATCCCAATCCTTCCACTTTTATTTCTGTCAATTACTGCTGCGTAGTGAGGCTTGACGAAGTTTGTCCTTCTTCACCGTTTCTACATAGTGCGGGTTGTTGCTATGTTCACTCTATTAATGCTGTAACATTGTAAGGGTATATGCTGTTTAAGATCGAGTGACCTGAAGAAGGGCTTATGCCCGAAACGTAGTCATATAATAAAGATTCAGTGAGGAGAAGAGCATTGCCGTTCTGTTCACTACAACAAGATTAGTACACCATCGAATGTGTACAAAGCAGAAAATACCGCAGTAGAAGTGGCGTTGTGGGAAGCGTCACATGATCGGCATCCGCACTAATACCTGATACTTTTGATGTGGAAGTTTTGAAGCATGTCACGTCAACGTGCCAGGGAATACTGGGTGTCTCCGCAACGTGGATCAACTGGCTGGCAGCTAGAACACCACAGCTAGAAGTGGCCAGCTTCACCGACTGATGCCATTTTGAGCTCGCTGGTTGAGGGGGTATTTGATTATCGTCTTACCCGAGACACCAAGACAACTTGCACGGGTTTATATCCGACCTCAAATTTGGGTAATTAAACGAAGCAAAAATAAATGTCCATTAAATCATAGCAAAAAGCAATAAATGCATGAAACTTGAACTAAACAGTTATAAGAGTAAGTGAAACCCAGGTTACCCAAAAATGAAATGGGACAGTAATCAAAGCTTCAGAGTTAAGCAACTAATTGAATCAAATCTTTCAAGTAATGATGATGACCTTAATCGACCATAACGCATAGATGATGAAACGACGTTAAAAGTGACAACCGAGGTGAATGAGTCGCAAGGTTATATGAAACCTCCTCACGCGCCGCAGCTGTAGATTCCATCCTCGTACTTTTCCCCACAAAGAAGTGCCATCTGCAGCCACGCCCGAGTCTTGCCCTGTGAAGTGCTGAACGGCTAAGACTGAAAGAATGCTAGATAAAAACACAAAGGTAAGGATTACAGTGCATCAGCTAATTAGTAAGAGTGTGAAATGCGGGTACACGCGATATTCCCGCCGACGCCAACTCACGTGACTAGGCGTCTTCCGGAAGCGCATCCAACTCTCTTTCGCGCTCTCTCGAATTTCTTGACTGCGTCTTGCTATTGCGTTGTGTTCTTCCGCCAGCTGATCAAGAATTCGCTGACTACGTTCAGGCAGCTCGCACAGTGCCGAGTGGTGGGTGTTCTCTCCGCAGTGGAAGCAGCGCACGTTTCGCTTCGGGTCTCACGTGTTCTCATGTTTAGTCTCATGTGTCATTCACGTATCAGCTATGTCTGCGCAAATGACTCTTCGGGGACCAAACGCCTCTGACAAAAGGGCTGCCTCATCAAATCCTGGATGGTGTACGAAGAGACAACCTGCTGTCGCCGCAGTCGGTGGAGTCCCAACAGAGGCTTTTGGTCGAGGCGAGCCTATGCGACATGGTGCGCTTAGCTTCACAGTCCGTGGACGGTCTTCCGCCCGTGCGTTTCTCTGGTTAGCCCTCGGCTCCTCAATGTTGCGGGGTCCTCAGGTTGTGCTTGCTGCTCGTCATTGTTGCCGTCATTGGAATCGCTGCTATCGGAGTCATCGCTATCGTCATCGCTAGTTTCGTCGCCGACATCGTCACCGGCATCCTCTACCTCTTCCATGAAATGAGTGCATTCTCAAGCGATGCACTTTTGGCGCTCTGCTTGTCTGTGCAGTGGGGCGGGCTTCTCCAGGCCTGTCGTTTGCTCGGACGATTTACTGTCTCACGGAGTACACTCAGTTCGTCAATTGCATTGTGCATTGCCTGTACTGCTTCCCTTACTTCATTCAGATCTCGTCGGATGTCTTCCATATCTAAAATTTGTTAGTATCATGTTGCGCAATTCTATTGCTAGTTTTTTCTCCTTTTTTTTTGAAAAAAAGGCACTTTCATTGACGACACGCGACCGTTAGGTAGGGCCGTCCCGTACGGGAAACCAATCACATCAATCACGGATTATTAAAAATTTCAACAACATCTACGTCATCTCAGAATCGAAGAAAAGCTGTCAACATCACCAGAGAACTCGGATCAGAACAACAGAACAATAAAATAACAACAGAAATAATTAGTTTCGGAAAGGAATTCTGGAAGGAGAACGGTTGAAATACTCTTAATACCTATAATGGTCAGGCTTGTAAGGACCGTCAATAGGCATAAGCTTACACAGCGAGGTGATCCAGATGCAATCGTGCGACCTCCTCGTCGAGTTTCTTAGGTAGCACGTACAGACCAACTTTGTACTCTTCGGGGGTACCGTATTTGGTCCAGAGTTCAATCTGGGCCAGAACTTGGTTGGTGAAAGAGTTCGACATGACAAACGATGGGTGACCAGTAGCACAGCCCAAGTTTACAAGACGACCCTCGGCAAGCAGGATAATGTGGCGACCGTTCTTCATGAGGTAGCGATCGACCTGAGGCTTGACAACTTCCTTGCTGACAGCATACTCATTCAGCCATTTCACATCGATCTCGCAATCGAAGTGTCCAACGTTGCACACAATGGCGTCATTAGGTAGCTGTTCCATATGTCGGCCAAGAACGATGTCCTTGCAGCCGGTTGTAGTGACAACGATATTAGCCCTAGGAGCGGCCCCGTTCAAGGTGGTCACTTCGTAACCCTCCATAGCGGCTTGAGAGCATTGATGGGATCGATTTCGGTCACGACAACACGCAAACCGAACACCTTCAACGACGAGCTGATCCCTTTTCGACATCATCGTATCCGCAAACAGCGGACACCTTTCCGCAGGCATGACATCAGTGGCGCGCTTGATACCATCAGGCAGTGACTCGCGGATTCCGTAGAGGTTATCGAACTTGGATTTTGTGACGGAGTCGTTAACATTGATTGCTGGGACCTTCAGTTCTCCCTTCTCGAGCATCTTGGCGAGGTTATGAACTCCAGTCGTAGTCTCTTCGGACAATCCACGAATACCTTTCAAGGTACTGTGGATACTTCTAGTGGACAAGGTCGGTGAGATCACCTCCATCGTCAAGGATCATGTTAAGGGGTTGACCATCCTTGAAGACGAGAGTCTGCTCAATGCACCACTCGTATTCTTCGTCGGTCTCGCCTTTCCAGGCGTACACTGGAACATCAGTAGCAGCAATAGCGGCAGCAGCATGGTCTTGGGTAGAGAAGATTTGCATGACGACCATTGCACCTCAACACCAAGCTCGACAAGAGTCTCGGATAAGAAGATTTTGCGTCTGTATGGTCATGTAGAATGCAATCAGCAGCGGGCACCCTTCAACAGCTTGCTCGGACCATACTTCGCACGCATCGCCATCAGTTCAGGCATTTCATTCTCAGCGATGATGATCTCCTTGCGACCAAAATCGGCCAGGCCATATCAGCGGACTGCTGGAAGGCGGCTTTGGCAAGCGTCGATGGCTCGGTTCGATGAGTTCGATGAGGAAGGACAGAGGGCTGGGAGGGGGAGGGGGGTCGTACCAACTCCCAAAAAGGGGGTCGTATTTTAGTATGGAATTAGGGGGTCGTAATTTTCAGAAAATGATCACAACGCGATGGCGTGCCCTGCTTGGAAGCGGCCATTGTGTCGTTTGTTACCTCAAACTTGGGTAATTAAACGAAGCAAAAATAAATGTCCATTAAATCATAGCAAAAAGCAATAAATGCATGAAACTGAACTAACTGAGTTATAAGAGTAAGTGAAACCCAGGTTACCCAAAAATGAAATGGGACAGTAATCAAAGCTTCAGAGTTAAGCAACTAATTGAATCAAATCTTTCAAGTAATGATGATGACCTTAATCGACCATAACGCATAGATGATGAAACGACGTTAAAAGTGACAACTGAGGAGTGAATGAGTCAATCAGGAGGCTTTTATATGAACTCCTCACGCGCCGCAGCTGTAGATTCCATCCTCGTACTTTTCCACACAAAGAAGTGCCATCTGCAGCCACGCGCCGAGTCTTGCCCTGTGAAGTGCTGAACGCTAAGCTGAAATGAAGCTAGATAAAAACACAAAGCTAAACATTACAGTGCATCAGTAATTAGTAAAAGACGTGAAAATCGCGGTTATCCGCGATAATTTCCATGATCTCCGGAATTGACTGGAAAATTGGCTGCTAGCGCAGGAAATAGCA